TCCAGTCCCATCCTGTCTGCGCACAGCTGTGAAGAAAAAGGACCCGGGACATTACAGTGGTTTATTTATGATTGACTGAGTCTTCATTACTTTTTGATTGGTTGTAGAACCGTTATATTTTCTAATGCAAAAATGTCATTTGAGACTTATAGATTGAAATTATGCTTAAGTATTTATTAGAATTTATCTCCCTTAAGAAAGCTTGAAAGTGTCATATTACAAAATTCCCAGAGTCCCAGACTCTCAAAGACAATCTTCACAATGTCAAGCTATTACTTGACCATATGGACCAGATGGCCTACAGTTGTAATATTGGTTTTTCAGAAACAAGCCAGTTTGTATCAAGATGATGAATGGTAAAGAAATTGTATCTGTAGCTTGTGGACACAGTCATTGTATAGCTGCTACAGCTAACTCTCAGGTAGGTTATACATCTCAATGCTTGAGTTCTTAGGATTGCCAGGGATTGATTAAGGATCAGCTTACAGACAGTATCCTTGTGAACCTAAGATGCTATCCTAAGACCCAACAGTAAATTGATAACGGTAATCAGGGAATGACTAATCCTAAAAATAATTAGCTGGTAGTCAAGATCTTCAAGAGACTGATTTGTTATCCTTCTACAATCAGTTGTTCCCTTCTTATTGCAATTTCAAAATGATGTTTTTATTTCTATCAGGTATATACGTGGGGACATAATGGTTATTTACAGCTAGGACACAATGAAACAAATGTTACACCTTGTAGAGTTAAGGTAAAGTTCTCTTTTTCCATGATCATCAGGATGGGGTGCATATTATTTACAGAGAATTTTTCAGAAATACTGCATTGTCAGAAGGTTATCAGCCTTTTAATTTGAATTAGATTCAATTTTGTTTTATTTTCTACCCATTTTAATAGTAACAATGTTGAAGGTGTGACTAAACACTGTGATGTGAACAGTATTTAGGAGATACATCATTATAATACTATATTATTTTTATTATAGTTTATGAAGGGATGTTATGTTTGGGATGTGGCAGCAGGAGATACCTTCTCTCTGTTCCTAGCTGACAATTCTGGGATGAAGTCTAATGTATTCTATTGTGGTAAACAACCCAAGTAAGCATCCTAATTCTCTGCCAATGGGCCTAATATTCCTGATTCTCTGTAGCTTCTGGATGAGCTGCAATGACTTACACAGAGAGACGTTTTACCAACATGAGTGTTCAGAGTTTATATGCAGTTGAGAGAATACCTTCAACTCAGTTCCCCCAGTCAGTGATTCAGATCATAAGGGCTGACATTAAAAGTTGACTACTCATTTGGATGGGAAAATCAACAAAGGACCAGCTGGTAGAAAGGATCTTTAGTGAATCTAAATTGTTGTCCTTGTATGGTTGTTTTTATTGTGTTTTTTTTTTTTGAAGTAAAGATACAAATACACCTCTAAAGAAGACTATGAATCCAACAGTTATTGGACCATTAAAGAAGGTAATATTGATAATTTTATCTTTATTACAAAAGAGTTAAATAGAATACAATACATTACCAATGAGCATCAGTATTGGAGAGTGAGTACATAGCAATAGGCATGCCTTCTCTCCTGTCCTTTATAAACAATACAAACCAAAACATACAATAAAACTATTAACAATTACATGGATGACACTGATCAAGGGTATTGAAATTGAAAAATTAAAACAATTGATAAAATCTGCAAAAGATTAGGCACATTAAAGGTCTCTTGTCAGTTTGAACTCTTAACGAAGCATTCTAATACTGGTGTCCTGGCAAAATTCCACTCGTTCCAAACTGCATGACATTGTACGTTTTCATTGTGACAAATAGACGCAAAAAAGTAGGATGTTATATCCCATTCCATTTGATTGTATTTCAATTTCAGCTTGGTTGGGTACGTCAGGTACAAGCAAGAGGAGATAACTGCTATTGTTTTATTAAACCAGGAGACGGTATTGTGGCAGCCATGTTTGAATTTGCAGCGTCTGAAAGATGTTTTCATCAACATTTAAACAGAATTATCAATGCATTTATTAAACCATTACAAAAATCTGGTAAAGTAAACAAAATATTTGTCTATAAGATTACCGTATATTAGTTTTGATCCTAAAAAGGGCTTGTCAAACTGAGACAGGACTTAATTCAAGCAGTATCGCTTCACACTTCTTTGAGTCAAAATGACCCTTTTGCAATCCAATATTTCCTATGAAGGGACCAAATCAAAATTTATCTGCGAATCAAATCAAATATATTTTTCAGAAGAAAGTTTCTTTGTTTATTTCAGCTTTTTTCACCAGTTTAGATGTTTTTCCATACAAATCATGTTTACAGAATCTCTTACAAGCATTTATTGATCTCACTTCAAAGGTAAACAATCACAACCATTTATGGCTGATAATTTCATTTTTTCATTTCTATAGTTAGTTTTATCATAAAAGTTGGAATTGCAAGAACCATATCTGACTTAAAATTGGAATGGCGCAAATTGAAGCTCTAAGTGTTATATGATTAAAACATAGACTATTTTTTATATAATTTGTATAATATTATAGGTATAGAATTATAACATAAGCTATTTTTTATATAATTTGTATAATATTATAGGTATAGAATTATAACATAAGCTATTTTTTATATAATTTGTATAATATTATAGGTATAGAATTATAACATAAGCTATTTTTTATATAATTTGTATAATATTATAGGTATAGAATTATAACATAAGCTATTTTTTATATAATTTGTATAATATTATAGGTATAGAATTATAACATAAGCTATTTTTTTATATAATTTGTATAATATTATAGGTATAGAATTATAACATGAGGTATTTTTTATATGATTTGTATGATATTACAGGTTTAGAATTATAACAAAGAATATTTTTTATATAATTTATATGATATTATAGGTTTAGAATTATAACATAAGCTATTTTTTTTATATAATTTATATGATATTATAGGTTTAGAATTATAACATAAGCTATTTTTTTTATATAATTTATATGATATTATAGGTTTAGAATTATAACATAAGCTATTATTTTTTATATAATTTGTATAATATTATAGGTATAGAATTATAACATAAGCTATTTTTTATATAATTTGTATAATATTACAGGTTTAGAATTATAACATAAGCTATTATTTTTTATATAATTTATATGATATTATAGGTATAGAATTATAACATGTGCTATTTTTTGTATAATTTGTATAATATTATAGGTTTAGAATTATAACATAGACTATTTTTTATAAAATTCAAATCTTACAAATCAAGTTCATAGTTATAAAAAAAAATTAATTGCATAAAATATATCTATAATTATATAAAACATACTTTGTAAATACTTTTAAAAAAAATGTTTTTTTGTATACATGTATATGTTATATATTATAACTTGCATAATGTTTATTTTATATAATATTTATTTATCTGTTGCTTTATTTGTTGGTAAACTATTTTTGCTATAATTTATATATTATAGATAGGAGAAGGTATAACAGAAGTAGGAGAATACATTCGTAGTAATAAGAACTATTTTGATATTAGTTTGATATCTAATAGTGAAAGTTATACCGAGGAATATTACTGTTTTTCTCTGGCATATTGTGATATGTTGGCTGTAGGTGGCTTTGATTATTGTGCTAAAGTTGGAACGTAAGTATATATTAATGATTTTTTTATTACTTTTATGTGCCCATATCTATGAACAAACTGTAGAGGCACCGATGTCATTCAATATTTTTATGAAGTAGCAGTAGCTTGAAAATTTATCTGAAAGTTTTAACTGAACTTGCAGTTAATTACTAGGATGAAAAAACTATTTAAAACCTTGGCTTTTATTTGATTAAATTACTTCAATTATTCAGCAATTCAGAATCTAAATTTTTCAGATCATTTTTTGACCAATGTAAAGATATATTCCCTGATTTGATAGCTGATAAATCTGCAGATAAAACTCAATATAGTTCAGCTTTTAGACGCACCATGGAATATCCTTTATCTCATGTTAAATTAGACTATAGAAGATTATTTGGTAAAATGACTGAAAATCTAAATCAGGTATTTGGAATATATAATTTATGGCATAAATCAGTCTTAGACTGATCTTTGTCTATATTTTACTGAATCAGTTTGTTTACTTGTTTAAATCAGTTTTAGATTGATCTGTGTCTTTATTTTACTGAATCAGTTTGTTTACTTGTTTAAATCAGTTTTAGATTGATCTGTGTCTTCATTTTACTGAATCAGTTTGTTTACTTGTTTAAATCAGTTTTAGATTGATCTGTGTCTTCATTTTACTGAATCAGTTTGTGTACTTGTATAAATCACTTTTAGACTGATCTGTGTCTTGACTTAGCTGAATCAGTTTGTGTACTTGGTAAATCAGTTATTTTACTGATTCAGTTTGTGTATAGATCAGTCCAAAACAATATTTCAGTCTTGAATCAATGTAAATCAGTTTTCAACAGATCTGTGTCTATATTAAACTGAATCAGTTTGTGTACCTGAACCTAGTCAATTACAATTAGAATTTAATTATAATCTCTATGGTGAACACTTTTGTATATCTTTTAGGATTGTAGCGAGAAGACATTATTAAATCAGGCTATGTCTAATTGGGATATTTTAAAATGGAATGTGGCTGCAGATATTAAGTCAGCAGAAGTCACAAAAGTATTGTGGGACACTGCCAATGCCAAAATATCGGTAAGATGAATTATTTACTTCCTAGTTTTAATAAGGTCTGACGGGCTGAAACAATTATAACATCTAGTCTAAAAACTTTGTTGCAGCCAGTACATATTAAGGGATTGGTTGAAAATAGCCCACATTGCACAATGCATTGTGTTGAGTTGAGAGTTGAATGGTAGGAAAAAGCTCCAGCTTATTTGAGTTACAGATACACCAACTTAACAATGCCAATAAGTTCCAAAGAAGTTTGATGTAAAACTCCTTTTATTTCTATTATAATTTTTAAGGATGCATTAAAGATACCAAGCCGTCGTCTGCTACGAGACAGTAAAAATAATCCCTTAAACTTACCGAATAGTGGTAGATTTACAAATCATATCATTATGTTATTTAACGATGGTCTTGTCCACGCTCAAAACTCGACTTTTACCCATCACCCTCTAAATACGGTATGGATAGAATCTCATAGTTCTGAGGCAGAACAACAGTAAGTAAATTCTTAATCTTTGACTTAGAGACAAGAGATTTTTTAGAGTTAATGTTAAGGAATAATGACATTAACAAGAAAGAGTGATCATTGTTTTCAAATTAATCATGGATCAATGTGTTCAAAAATCATTGTTTTCAAATTTTTTCATTGAAATTGATCATTGTTTATATATTTATCATTGAAATTGAATTTTGTTTTCATATTGATCATTGTTTTCAAAATGATCAAGTCAGATGTGTTTTTTTCTCCAGAAATGTAATAGTCGTGACTACACCAGAAGATACTCTGACATTGGTTGCTAACACACCAGAAGATAAGGTAAGAAGTTATTCTTAAAATTACCATTCTTTCTCAAAACAAATTCTTTCAAATGGCATGAAGTTATTAATAGTAAGATATATACACAGTTTCATAGAACAACAATCAAGTTTTATGCAAGATATCAACATGGATTTCTCAACTCAGTTGCATGAGAGTTGCATTCGAAACTGTTATTTTTATTGGCAACCATACACAACTGGTGATTACTATAGTGTGAGGTCAACTTATGTTAACTGAAATTTTTTTTCTATTTAGGCTGATTGGTTCATGACGTTGAATTCCACCATTAACAAGAATCTACATTGTGATAAGATAATGAGACAGAACAGCTCTGAACGCCTAACACCACCTCTAATACGCCACGTCACTTATACCTTTACTAAACATTGTCAATATAAAGATGCTCGATACATTGGATTTATGTTAAATGGTAAAATGCATGGACAGTAAGTATTACTCTTGAGAAAGATTGTGAAGAGGTTTTCTGAACTTTTTGTTGGTATCAGAGTCTACTTGTATCATTCCATAAAAATTAAGCTTTTATGATGTCATTATAGCAAAGATGGCTAATATTATTAGTCTTTGTTATAGTGAAGTCATAAAGTTTTAGTAGAATTGTAAAAAACACAGACGTTTGACTGAAAATTGTAAATGAGCAAATTGATTCTATCAGTGTTCTCAATACAAATTTTAGAGATCGTCTTTACATTATGTTTAATTTTGGACAATTTCAGTATTGTGATAAAAAAAGGTTTGTTTAACATAGCCACAGTCATTGGCTGTACGCACTTGTATATATATAAAAAACGATCTGCACTCAAATGTTTCAGATGAAATTAATTTCAAGCTTAATTTTCAACAACCACAAAACGCATAATAATGAAATTTGGTTTTTTGACAGTATTATTAACCGGTAAATGTTTTATTCCCAATTTGTTGTAGGTAAATTTCGTGCACATTGTATTAGCAATAATATGGTATATTTTTTTTAACATTTCTTTAGAGGGGAATTAGTATGGTCTGATGGAAGAACATATTATGGTAAATTTGGTCAGGGACTTCAACAAGGGTAAGCAACTTCTATCCCATCATCTGCTCAACACAGCCAAAACTATTACATATTTCTTCTATGTGTTTAGTAAGAAGATTTTAAGCGAGTTTCAAACTGGCCAATCAATACGCTTTTAAAGTAATGTTATTGTTTGGTTTGTAAACATGAACACTCGCACAAAACTCATGCATATTATGAGAATGGAAAATATATATATCTAAGGACATATTTGCAATAGTTTTAGTGGAATTGCAAGTACCACAGACATCTGACTGAAAATCGGAATGGTGCAATCAATACTATCAGTGTCTACAATAACCCCTTTAACCCTTTCAACCCTAGCGGCCGCTTTACAGATATACCGGCCATTGCTAAGTTACTTGGAGTTCAGGGTATATGACGTTGTATTTCATTTACACTCAGGGTTCAAAGGGCTAAGAGAACAACAAAAAGGGGTGGTAATATTTTGCCTTTGTTTAAATTATGATGTGTGATTAATTTGTCTGTAGACATGGAAAATATACTATACCAACTGAAGATGGTCTAGAAATACAGGAAGGTAATTGGAAAGATGGTATGTTAAATGGATATGGTACAATCAAGTAAGATTATTAAAAATATTTCTAACTTCCTACTATTATGCACCTGATTGGGCTAATGTAGGTGAGCAAGACTGTGCAGTAAGGGAAATTATGTCTCGACAGCAACTAATTGAAAATGGAGAAAGAATAGTTTATTGATGTTGCTGCCCGTCTTCATTATCAGGTGCAAAAAATAGGACATAAAAAATTCAAGTCTAGAGTTGTTTCCAATATTAATTTGTTTGGTAAATATCATTTGGAATTTTGTTCTATAATCTAGGTATGCTACTGGAGATATATATAAAGGGTATTTTAGAAATGGTATGAGATATGGACATGGCATATATAACGAAGGTCAACATATGTCCCACTCTGCTAGTATATTTATTGGAGAATGGGTGGAGGATAAACGCCATGGTTACGGAGTCCAAGATGACATCCTAAAAGGTAAGATAAACAGAAGAGACGAGGATAACAACTTAGTTGCACAAGGACCCTTTCTACCAGTTTGTCCCTGGCCAAATCTCTTGGCATTAATCCTTTCCCAAATTTTCTGTACTTATTACAGCTGGGTTAAATTTTGATAACCCTGAGAATACAGTATCTTATGTAGACAAAATTGAGAAATCAATATGCAAAGTGATATCAGGTATTAAGAAAGAATGTCTTTCATAATATCAGCTGCATCGGAATCTATTTAAAAGGAATGTAAAGAGGCTTTCTAAACTAAACATTTAAATTGCTGAATCCCCAACAGGCAAGAAAATTTTAATGCCACTACCAGAGAGATCTTAACCCTCTTATCCTATTTTTAGGAGAGAAGTATATGGGAATGTGGCAAGATGACTATTGTAATGGTAAAGGTGTAGTGGTAACATTAGATGGAATGTATTTTGAGGGAAATTTTGTTTATGGGAAACTAACTGTAAGTTACAATAAAAACCTATCTTACTTTATATCCCTTATCCTACTCGCCCTGATACTGATTCTACTCTATGTCCCTTATCCTTATCCAAAAAACATCTGGAAAATGAAGCAAGCACAGAAGGGGGATTCCTGTGACCATTTGCCCTTCCACCCCCAATTAGCCACAACTGAATTGAGTATATCTTGTATGCTGTTATATATTTTACAGGGATTTGGTCTAATGTTAACAGATGATAATAGTTGTTACGAAGGAGAATTTCAAGGTGTTACACAGCTACAAGGCAAGGTACATATCATTTTATGATCAAACTGTTTAATTTCAATTACAAATACACCACCACAGTCAATATGACTTCTCAATAAAGCACTGGAACATGCATCAGAATTGTTCTTACCTGGACCCACCTTTTTGCCTAGCAGATGGCAAACCAACTTGCTAACGACTGTGTTATTCCATAGGGTGCGACTAAACGCTATAATGTAAACCATATATATTCTGGTTGTGCCTAAACACGTTAATGTTTCCAAAATAGCACTTGTGGACAAATAGACACACCGTCTTTGGGTCAAATTTGAACAAGATTAATCGTAACAAGGATGCAGATTAAGAATCCCTAGATAGTTGGAAGTAAAAAAAGAGCAGGATAATGCCACTCTCCTGGAAAATTTTCCATATTGCAAACAACATTTGTTTTATTTTAGGGTTGTTTGACTGTACCTTATCTATCTATCTTATATCTATCCTTGTATTATCCTATTTTATCTATATTTCAGAGTTGTTTTACTCTACCTTATTGATCTATCTTATCTTATCCTATCTATATTTCAGAGTTGTTTATTCCACCTTATTGCTATATCTTATCTTATCCTATCTATAATTCAGGGTTGTTTTATTCTAACTTATTGATTTATCTTATCCTATCTATAATTCAGGGTTGTTTTATTCTACCTTATTGATCTATCTTATCCTATCTTATCTATATTTCAGAGTCGTTTTACTCTACCTTACTGATCTATCTTATCTTATCCTATCCTATCTATATTTCAGAGTTGTTTATTCCACCTTATTGATATATCTTATCTTATCCTATCTATAATTCAGGGTTGTTTTATTCTACCTATTGATCTATCTTATCCTATCTTATCTCTATTTCAGAGTTGTTTTACTCTACCCTAGTGATCTATCTTATCTTATCCTATCTATATTTCAGAGTTGTTTATTCCACCTTATTGATATATCTTATTTATCCTATCTATAATTCAGGGTTGTTTTATTCTACCTTATTGATCTATCTTATCCTATCTTATCTATATTTCAGAGTTGTTTTACTCTACCTTATTGATCTATCTTATCTTATCCTATCTATATTTCAGAGTTGTTTATTCCACCTTATTGATATATCTTATTTATCCTATCTATAATTCAGGGTTGTTTTATTTTACCTATTGATCTATCTTATCCTATCTTATCTCTATTTCAGATTTGTTTTACTCTACCTTATTGATCTATCTTATCTTATCCTATCTATATTTCAGAGTTGTTTATTCCACCTTATTGATATATCTTATTTATCCTATCTATAATTCAGGGTTGTTTTATTCTACCTTATTGATCTATCTTATCCTATCTTATCTATATTTCAGAGTTGTTTTACTCTACCTTATTGATCTATCTTATCTTATCCTATCTATATTTCAGAGTTGTTTATTCCACCTTATTGATATATCTTATCTTATCCTATCTATAATTCAGGGTTGTTTTATTCTACCTTATTGATCTATCTTATCCTATCTTATCTATATTTCAGAGTTGTTTTACTCTACCTTATTGATCTATCTTATCTTATCCTATCTATATTTCAGAGTTGTTTATTCCACCTTAATGATATATCTTATCTTATCCTATCTATAATTCAGGGTTGTTTTATTCTACCTTATTGATCTATCTTATCCTATCTTATCTATATTTCAGAGTTGTTTTACTCTACCTTATTGATCTATCTTATCTTATCCTATCTATATTTCAGAGTTGTTTATTCCACCTTATTGATATATCTTATCTTATCCTATCTATAATTCAGGGTTGTTTTATTCTACCTTATTGATCTATCTTATCCTATCTTATCTATATTTCAGAGTTGTTTTACTCTACCTTATTGATCTATCTTATCTTATCCTATCTATATTTCAGAGTTGTTTATTCCACCTTATTGATATATCTTATCTTATCCTATCTATAATTCAGGGTTGTTTTATTCTACCTTATTGATCTATCTTATCCTATCTTATCTATATTTCAGAGTTGTTTCATTTTACATTATTGATAAAATCTTATTTTATCCTATCTATATTTCAGAGTTGTTTTATTCTATTTTATTGATCTATCTTATCTTATCTTATCTTATCTTATCTTATCTTATCTATAATTCAGGGTTGTTTTATTCTACCTTATTGATCTATCTTATCTTATCCTATCTATATTTCAGGGTTGTTTGACTCTACCATCAGGTGATAAGATACAAGGTGTGTTTAATGGAAGCTGGAATGAAGGTTTAAAGATTAATGGAATGTTCAATAAATCTGATCATGTTTTAGCTGGAAGTAAACCTAAATCTCATATGTTAGACATTAATAATGAGTAGGTTAAATTTAACTTAATTTTTTCATTCATAATTGGCTAACCTTGGGCTGTGGTGACTGAGTGTATTAGACACTTGCTTGTTTACCATGTTTAGGGTTAAATCTCAGCATTTTTGAGATAATACCTTGGCTTTTTCAACCAAGTTTCTCTCTGTTAGTGATGGGGATAGAAAAGTGTCTTGTTGTGCAGATGGGACAATAAACCAAGACCAAACATTTACAGGATGCACATGTTAAAGATCCCTTGACAGTTGGGAATCGAGTAGGCAAATGCTGCTGTCCTCAAAACACCCTTTTGTATCATTTCAATGTGTTTACAAATGTAGATGTTTTGTTATTGTACTGCATTCAGCAAATATGTCCATTTTTAAATCCAGGAGGACAATCTGTTGGCACTTTTTATCTACAATTTATGTTCTGCAATGACGATTTTGATAGAAATAAAATATATTTTAGAATGTATGGGAAGCTGTCTGTCCCCGCTGATAAAAAATGGAATGAAATATTTAAACATACGCTAGCTCTGTTGGGCTATTTAGACAGTAAGAAAAATCCGAACAAAGCTTGGGAAGTTGTAGCGGTTCGACTGACACAGGGTCAAAAGGTCATTAAAGAATTAGAGAGAAGGTAAGGATTTGACTGTTACCCAAATTGCATAACGGCAAGGTTTTGTCTGTCCAATGGCAAGAATAAGCATTTTGGGGGTTAATTTGTAGGAAAATAGTATAATCAATTGGATGAACCTAAAAATGATTTTCAGGGAGGTCAAATTGATTGTTTTGAAATTTGTTTTCAGATCGCCATCTAAAGCCAGGACATTATCATCAAGTTTAGAGAGTCTACAAACTATACCACCATATAATACTGGTGTTTTATCTATAGAGAGTTACCATAAAATATTACAATATCTTACTAAGGTATGAGAAGTCTTAATTCAATGGGAAAAAATCTTTTCAGCCTAATACAACAATTGATGTTCTTAACTCAATTTTCCCCCCTCAGTGATGCAGGTTGAAGGGGCTGACATGGTTAAAGAATTTAGACGTTTGGAAAAATAAACGGAAACCCTGTGTGCTGTAGCCCTGAAAAGTTTCAAATAGAAAAAAAGAAATTTTATGCTGGCAAAGTTTCCTTCATTGGATACTGCATAACATTGCATGTCTTCATTAGCCAAATCAGCTGCAGTAAAGTAAAATTCCATTTTATTTGTACCTATCAGGCGTTTGATAACCCATACCATCCTGCTGGTAATTTAATAGATTCTATAGTGGATGTATTTCGTGCAGCTTATATTGGTATTGGTGCTCATCCAAGATTATTACACCATGCGGTACAGGAGATTAAATCATATGTGAAGAGAATGTATGTGGTTGTGAGGTAAAATTTGATTATGATTAAAATATGATTATTTTTAGGGTTCTGTGGGTCTTTTTATTTCACTCAAACAGGTGTTTAATGATGGAGATTAAATATCATAAGCAGCTTCTATGATAGTCACGTCCTGTATGGTTAAGCTACAAACATCTGACTGAAATTAGAATGGTGCATATTGGCTCTGATACACATTTGATTGTAGAGTAAACTTCTTTACAACCCCTTCAAGTTGATGTGAATTTTATTAATCTGTAACATGTTTTATTTCAGACTTCTATTCCCGGACTTACCTTCACATACGGGACCAGTTCATATTTACCCAGAATCTTCTAGTAAAACTAAAGGTATCCCGACATCAACAGAATCAGCTGAGAATTTTCTACGCAATGATTCAGAAGAAGAACCCTAGTAAGTTGGAACCATCACCTATTCAAACCCTTCAAAATTATTACTTATTCCTTCCTTGTTCCACTAAAGCATGTAGACCTTGTAGTTAACATGATTGTCAAACAGACCAACCAATATGCTTGCATAGGGCTATTTTACTATATTATGTAAATCTGCACACATGCATACAGCAGTTGATTAATTTAAGCATATGGACAACCACTGTTCAACATTCGTACCAAGTTCTAGCTTGGCATATTCCTGGCCATGCAGCCATGCACAACCAACAAAGCTAAGAGTTAAACCCACCTCCACCTTCACTCAATCTAATTTATATTTCAGTGAAGTGATATCTGCTGCTAGTCTGCTGTACCCTATATTATTACCCAAGATTTATCCCCCTTTGTTTGACCTGTATGCACTGTATAATGATAAAGATGATGAACAGTGCTGGGAGAGAGTAACAAAGTTAAATAGACAGGGTGATATGGCTTTAATGGCTTACCTCGGAATTGAAGAGTAAGTCATTACAAATATTATATTGCATTCCAGCCAAGATATTTAAGAACATCTGTGTCAGATTCAAAACAGAAACACAAGCAGTCCACTTTATTTTTAGGTAGTATAAGTCATTATATACAGAATAAATTTAGTTTCAATTACTATAAATTCTACCCAAAAATAAAGTGCACTGCTCATGTTAATGTTAAGAATTGAACATGGATGTACAAAAAAAACTTTTTATTTGGATCTTTTCATCTTCACAAGCTATTACGAACTTCAAACCTATACCTTGACTGCAATAGCCACTATTTGTGTATCTTGGATGGTTGTACATGAAAGATGTGATTGCACTGTACGCTAGCCAATACAGCCAATAAGAAGCCTTGAGTAAAAAATACAAAGAGGTAAATTTCACAGAGATTTACTTGACTTTTAACGTTTATTTTCCAGACGGTTCTGGTTAATGAAAGAAATTCTACTTCAAGATAAAAGCCAGGTAAACTTACTTTATATTGTCATTAAAATGTTGATTTAGAATTGGAATAATTAAATAAGGATTTGTTTAGAGGTTTTCTTAACCAGTGGCTCAACTACCAAGAGCATGAGTTAAAAAAATTTCCCTAGTGGTGGGTGGGGGGGCCCTTATCCACTTAAGTTCATTGGCCCCCACTTATCTTATCTGTCTTATCTTCCCAACATTGTTACATTACATCTGGGATTGAACCATTCATACCCGAGTTTGCTACAGGGAAATTTGAATTTCCACATAGTTTAACTTCTTACTAGGAACTTTCCATGTCCTTTTTATACGCCCACACGTAAGTATGGGCGTATATTGTGGTTGCCCCTGTCGGTCGGTCGGTCCGTCCGTTCACATTTACCTTGTGCTCACTCTACAGGCTACAATTCTTTTAATCTTTTGTATGTGTGTCAATATCATTATGAAGATGTGCACTATTGAATTTGGTGAGGATCCGATGATTTTCTTTAGAGATATCGCATAAAACTCTGATATCGTGTTTTTTCACCCTTTGGATACAGGCTACGATATAGAGTTTGTTTTACAGTTCACATTTAGCTCTTTATCAAGCTGCTGGTGGGCGTATTCGCTTGCGAGACTTGCCGCAAGCCTATGTTTCAAAAAGTAACGAATACAGCTTAAATATTTGTTCTCCTTTTTTAGTAAAAATAAAGAAAATCATCTTTTTTTTTTTTAGAAATTATCAGCTCCTAGAGATCAGTGTTATGCCTCAGCTGTTGAAACATTACAACAATTAAGGTAAAATGAAGTGGGGAAATTTAAACCATAAAGAATTATGCCTATTTTTAAATAAAATTTGTGAAAAATCAACAAAAAATGAAAATATTGGAAAGGGAAAGAATGCGTCAGCTGGAAAAAAGAATTAACAGTTAAAATTATGTATTCCTTTGGATTCTCATTTAGTAATTTTCTTGGAGCAATATTCCAGTCAAGTTGACCAAGCTGTAAATAGGTTCAGATAATCATTGAAAGAACAATGTTTGGTGGTTTGCTCATGGACCAGCTGGTAGAAAGGATCCTCTTGTAAAATATGGTAGTTTATTTATTCCATGTCATATAATCTTGTAATTGGTCAACTTACTTTGTTTCAGTACTGCCTTCAGTCCTATAGAGAAATTAAAAGTCATAGAAAAAACATTTGAAGAAATTACAGAGGTAAGACAGTAAGACAATATTTCTTCTTTTAACTTATTGTGGGAATATATGAGGTATAGCGTATTTTCTGAATTAAGATTCTAATGCGGCAGCGCATATGTTCCATCATGCTAGTGAGGGTCTTGGGAGGAACTAAATTTATTTGGTGCATTATGACATGTGATTTTTAAAGTAATATATCTTAGTATTTTGAAATTTCACAGAAATAAAGTAAGGGTACAAACTATACAAACTATTTTTGGTGTGAAAAGTGATATGATTCACTTCCAATATTATAAGATGATCCATTACTTTCCAGACTGTCCAAGCTTCATTAAAAGATGATCATGTTTGGTGTATGGATGATTTGTTTCCCATCTTTCAATTTGTGGTGGTCAGAGCTAAAATCCGCCATCTTGGAGCTGAAGTCCACATGATAGACGATCTGATGGAAAGTCATTTAGAATTTGGTGAACTTGGTATGATGTTTACTACACTTAAGGTATGTATTCTTTTAACACTTTAAGTACCAAACATAGTTGAAATAAAAGCGTCATGTACCCTTCAGTCCAAGGTATATACCTTTAAATGTAGGTAGTTAACCTAATGTGACATAACATGGTAACTGTTGTTTCACCCTCCACTGGTTTATATATCATACAAATTGGTGGTTAGAGAAGCAGCCAGTAGTATTGAATAGGTTACAGGGATAGAGTTTTCCCAGTTTTTAGCTTTACTAGATGATAAAGCACAAATTTCAGCTCTCTTATTCCTTGGTATATATTCTATGTTTAAATTTCAGGCCTGTTATTTCCAAATCCAGAATGAAAAACTACGCCATTAAAAATCTTGAAGTTGTGGGACCTTATTCTCAAAGACTTGATTTTAGTGTTCCAGTTCAATCACTTTAATTGTTAATTAATTTTTATTGAATTATTATCCAAGTTAGATTACTGTATTTCTTAAAACTTTTAAAGCCATTTCCAATAGGATTACACTGATATCATAATTTATGCTAACCAAGTAATGTTAAGCAATTCATTTCAATGTTTAAAAAAGAATATCTCCATAAAGTAAGGAGATGGCTTATTGAACGGGGTATTTGATTGGTTGAACATTACCCTGAACAGGAAATGCATAATAATTTTTCATATCATAGATGGGAAGTGAAGTCACTCTCAGAAAAAAAACAAAACTTGAAACATCCACTTTTGCATTCAATCAGTTTGGATTGAGTTATTTTTTAAGTTATTTCAGCTATTTTAGTCAGTCAAGCCTTATATTTTTAATTCGTGAAATTCTTTTTTTTTATTAGGTAGTGGGCTAATGAAGACAGACTGGGCAATTAGCATTAGCCAACTATCTAGGGTTTTTTTTAACGTGCACAGTCGTAGCATACTTGGCCTTGGTTAATTGTCCCATTGGAGCTTTAAAAGCTAAAGGCATTGTCAGTTGGTAAATTTTGTAACTGATTCACAGTTAACTCTTTTGTTTATTGAGCTGCAAATCTCAAATGAAAAATATGGTAGTTGTTTGCAAACCTAACACCCACCCCCCCAGTGAGAATAGTTCTTTTATTATGTGTCAAATATCTGGTCATAAAATGACTACTCAAATATTATCCGGATGTGGTGATGGCCAATATAAAGGTTTTCTGTACCTTTTTATGTGTATCTGGGACACTGATATCATTGATTTGCACCATTTCAATTTTCAATCAGACATCTGTGGTTCTTTTTACAATTAAACTTAACTAAGGATTTTACCTATCATAAAGACCCTTATATATTTTCAGCATGTTATATATGTGGTGGTAGTGATATCATAAATGTTAAGTTTAAGTGTAATTACAAGAACCATCAGTGTCCCTATTACACATACAAAGAAAAGGAAAATAATTTTTTTGTTAATTATATTTTTTATTAATTATTATTTGCTCAGAAAAAAGTTGACTTATCTCAGTAAGTGAAAATGAAACCTGAAATGATTCATATCATAAAGTACTTTTTCCTACCCGGGGAACTTTAGATTGGTTTTAATCATTCATGTTTAGTCGATCCTAGATTTTTGACTTGCACATATGAGTCAGATTAAAATCATAACAGATCAGTCCACTTTATCTTTAGGTAGTAATAGTAGTAATTAAAACAAGTCTTGTATTCCTAACAGACTTCTTTCAACCGTACCAAAAAATAGACTATTCTTGTTTTGAAACCATTCTAGAAATTGAAATAATATAGAGTTTTACATCTTACTTTTATATGTTAAGTTATCTTTGCATGCCTCTAAAAGGTATTAATATGTTGAACTGTATGACCTTCAAATCACTCCTATCAATATTATTTTAATGTATTTATTTCTAAATAAATCATTTTAATTTTTTATATAAGTCCCATTGTTTACTCATATGCACACAGAAGATTTATTTTCACTCATCTTTCGCATATTACAAACGCAACTGTAGGTCATTCACACACTTTAAATTTAACATTCATGAAGAGGGCTATAGAAAAAAAAAAAAAACCAATACAAAGTTTTATTTCATAACTAACTTTTTGAGCATAAAATATCTAAAACATCAAGAGTATTGCACCTCGATTTTGCTGTTATCCAATATAAAAATTACAAATATTGCCTTCAATGAAAGTTAAAGGGATTGTAAAGTGGTTTCAGTATTCAATTGCATATTTCTGATTTTCTTTCAGACGTCTGTAGCTGTTGAAATGCTTTACTGTTATTGAGGCCATCATAGCAAAATGGTGATTCTTTACAATCCCTTTAAGTCTTTTTCCTATCAAATATGCATATAATTGATATCTATTAAAGGCACTTTATTAATGAAATATGCCTCATGATGTTATAACACTGATTCAATTTCATTAACTTTATATATTTTTAATCATACCACGATAAAATGCGTATCAAGATACCATACGGTAAAACCTGATGTATTTTGGGTAATATACTAAAATGTATTATTTTTGATATCTATGGTAACAAACATTGCCTAAAAGTTCAACAAAAACCGTATTCCTATTTTTATTAATGTAATTAAGTGCTGATTTTTTTGATTTTTTTTTGACAATACAGTCAAATACCTTGACTCTGCTTCCAAAATATTAAATTGAAAGTCAATGGTTACTGACATATTCCTTGAATGTGGTGTAGTAGATTAGAGGCTGTCACAAAATATTGGAATATGACTTTAAGACATGAAAGTATGAAAAGATGAAATTTGTAGAGAACCCTGCAAAAAATATGTCATACTAAGTTCACATTAAGCCATATTTTTCTTTAACCAATCGCCAACCGGTTGTTTTTCCCGCTCTAACCAGGCAGCCCGTATGCAGGTATTTTCTATAACTTGTTGTACTGTCCTCTCAGTTCCTGGAGATGGATTGGCTTGAAAAAAAGCCTGAAAATATAGTGATATGTCCTTGACAAATTCTTACAAGATTTTATGAAACACATGGGCCTGGTGAGGATTTCATATCTGAAATTTTTCTATAGCAATGTGGAAATGAGCTCTATCACAGTTTTCTATCACAAACTGTCACTGATCTTGAACTTACACAGCCTGTAGCACAAGGGAACTTGGTCTATTGTCACATCTAGAGGCTTTTTATTTTTTTTACGGCAAGATTGAATCTTCATGTTAGGAACAAGTGACTAACTCATTGAGTAAGATCAGGGAAGAAGATGTTGTGCATAATGAAAATCCTGAATTCAGATTCACTTACCTCTATCTCTCTAGCCATTTCTTCTGTAGCAAATCCGGAGGTTGGTGCCTGTAAACAGAATAATCAGGAATATTATATTTCATTAAACTTTCAATGTTGGCTGACTTAAATCTCATCTGCATATTTGAGAAGTGGCCATAGCATAGTCGGTTAGAGCGTTGAAATATCTACATGAAGTTATGTACTTAGCAATGGTACGTTGTACAAATATTGTGGTTTCTAATCTTAGTTGCCGTGATAAAAACTGGAGACCTTGAAAGAGTCATCTTTCGTTATTCCAGTTGACCCAGCTGTAAATGGTAATGGATAATCTGGGAAAGATCAATGCCACGAGATTCGGCCAAAGACCAGTTGGAGGAAAGGATCCTTATGAACCTACGATATTATCCCTTGTAAATAATAGTTGTTATTTTCTTTCTATAAAACTGGATTTTTTCAACAACATCATCCAAATGTACAATAGGAAACTGATAAAATAAATTACCTGGACAAGTCGAGTTAACAGACCACACTTATATCTGGTCTTCAAGTCATTCCAATGAGTTTTCAAGAATATCCAAGCTAAATCTCTCCCCTTGATAGTACCTGTGGTGCCACCTAGTGTTAATGGTGTATCTTGATATCTAATCTTATCCTGCAATTTGTAAAACAAATAAAACCTAAATTTATGACATTAATGTCAACTACCTTTTCATATTAAGATGGGTTTCCTTAATTTTTGAGTATCAACTTAAGCCAACTTTTTGATTAATTGGTGTTTCTAATGAATAATCATGTATTCTTAATCATATCATTATGTTCTTATTGCATGTAAGAGTTGTCTGCAATCATCACTCTCCATCAACAACTTTCTGACCTTTCTTGATTGTTCACTTATTAGAATTCTGAATTCTCTTCTAATTTAACTAATTATGAATTAATTATGAGACTAAGTAATTTTGCAACAAACTGACATTTTTCAAAGTCATTAAAACTCGTCTACTTTCTATTCAAATAATCCTTTAGCGACATTTAGGGGTAAAGATCACATTAAATAACGGACACAATTTTATGGTATACTACCCTTAGTTTTATTATACACGACGTTTCAACAATCTGCATTTAACCCATTCAACATAATGGGCCACAACTGCCACATAATTACCCAAGCCGCTGGTCAAGCAGCTGTTACCAAGTGACATCACATAACTTTAACGTCATATACATTTTAGTTTTCAAAATATAACTGGTGAACTAAAAATAGTTTACAAGGGTGCTTGATGGAATCAACGTTAAGTTCAATAAAACAATTAGAAACAGGGTTCAGAATGTGTTCCACCTGTGCCTTTTTTGGGCAAGTAGAAGATAAAATTTTGCATGTGACATATCCTGTTCTGTACTGTTAGATTGAGGAAAGATTTGGTATAAATGGAACCTGTTCAGAACTCATCAATTAAGCACCACTAAGTACATCGTAGTATGAAGTAAAAGACATTTATATCATCTACCCACAGATCATTAAAACTTACAGAAATAGCTAAGTCTAAAACTTTTTGAATGAGTTTTTCGTCCTGAATTGATCCCAGATTCATCAATATTCTTCTTTGTTCTTGTTGTAACTCAGCCTTTTCATACAACTAAAAAATCATAAAATAATTTCTTTACTTAAAGCTGCACAATTTTGGAGGTTGATTTACACCTTGATAAACTGTACTAAAATGGCAAGATCCCTTCAAATATACTTTAAATGAAAAATTTCATTTACATATCTATCTCTACTGATTTTTCCTCATTCCTGAAATCCATATTGTTCTATAACTGACCTAAACAATACCAATTTCTGAGACTAATTTTATTCATTATCAAATTAACCCAGTTTAAATCATTAATAAAATTAAAACTTCCTTTGAAAAAATAGAAGGCTTAAAACCAAAAATAATCCCTTAAAATGTTTTTGAGGAAATGAAAAAAATAATACCTGCATCATTTGATTAAACACTTCCTCATCCCCATGTGTTAAAACAGTTCCATACACCTAAAAATAAAACAATCATTTTGGAATTCTGAGGTGTGTGGTCAAAATGCTTGTGTAATTTACCATTCTGGTATTTAATGGGACCTGGTTTTAGTGACAGTGCTTCTATACTTCAATTCAAAATTAAATGTTTGCTTTACCAGCTGATTGAGAATAATTTTTAGCTTTTTAATTTTAAGCAATTTTTGACTAACAGTCCATCATCTTGGTGACACATAATGTAAGAAAAAAGGTGCTGTAAAAGTTTCGACTATCACTTGCTGAACACTTTTGGGAACGGAACCAGTGCAGAAGCTAGCCTTTTGAGACTTGTTTTTTTTTTTTCGTAGATCAGTTACTTACACAGCCTCTCAGATCAGCAGCTAGTGGTTTGATGCCAGAAACATGGTCTTTAAATCTCTTTCTAGCTTCTGTTACAGTGGCTTCGTCACCATAGCGACCCACTTTATTTAACACAATGCCACGCAATATGGCTTCATCCACTTAAATTTAAAGAACAGATAATATCAAATGTGAAAAGATCAAACGCAGATGATAAGGTAATCCAATGTTACTTCACATTTTCAGAATAAGCAAACAAAGAGTAGAGCAATATGCCAGCCTCTTTGGTTTTTACAATTGCACAATTTGTCTGTGTTACATTCTGTCTCTTCAAATTCTGCCCTCAATCAAACGGTACAGAAGCGGAATAAGTCACATTCAAAATATTTATTTCGTTCTCTGCCATTTCGAATTCTATCTGCTCTATCTGCTCCTACTCATTTTTTGGAACACATTCTGAACTTTGATTAAATGTCTGGTTGATTCTCTTTGTGATCTGATTGACATATTCTTGCAATGAATTTTCACAAACTAAAATTCTAGAGAAGCTGTTAATTTAGGTTCATTTTCTGTGCATTATATTCGCAAGTATATGGTATATCAAACATGCTGCTGATTAAGTTTTTACAAATTAATGACCCTAACCTCCTGTCTTGTCCTCCCATCCTAGTTTTTGAGCTATAGGTTTAAATAGCTTTCTAACAAATTGTTTGTAGATATCAAAGTATTCTGTGTATTGTAAGATATTGGCTAGGGAACTAAGGTTACTGGATAGAGTATTCCATACTGTACACACTGTTTCGTTAGTATAGGCTTCGATAACTGTTAAGACATCTACTGTAGAAATGAATCCTGCTCTCGACTGAAATTAAAAGCATTTAAGGAACTGAAAAAGGTTTGTCTGGCCTTTAAAGAAAATATAAGTTCACTATAACAATTTGTCTGGCTTTGATGATTGGGAACATGTTCATATGCCATGGTCCCCTAACTACAGACTGTGAATGAATCTTTAAACTTAGGGATATAAAATATTAAGATTAAGCTAATGGCACTATCTAGGTAAAATATTCCTCATTGCACACCGCATGATGATAACTTGGAAGACACACAATCTAGTCATTATTAATTAATTAAATTTACACGCACAATAAAAAATATTATCAAATTTCAATGTGTGATATCAACGTTGAGTCATGATATATTTGCATTCCTCAACAATTTGGATCACTTTTTGGACAATAAATAAAAATACATCCTACTTACAAGAGCAAAAAGATCTTCTTCAAGTCCAAGTCTATCACGACATGGTAGTGTTTTATCTTTAATAGCTGGTATTAAACTATGTAACATATCAGTGGTATACTGTACCCTATAGACACCAACACTACCAGAATTTATCTACAATAATAGGGTTGGTATTAGAGTGGTACTGTCTATCACAATGTCTACAGAACCTCTTGGCATTGTTCTTTCCCTAGATTTTCCGTACCCATTTACAGCCGGGTCAACTATAATATTAGACTTCAATCACCAGAATTTCACAAGCCGAATGAGATTAGAAATCACTCTCAATGACTGCTGCAGCCCATTCTCATATATCTAGTGATAGCTTACCTTAACCCACTGAGATTGTGTAACACCAGGTAGTTCAACTGTAACACAATCTTGATCTAAGAGAATAGTTTTAACAGGGGTGGTAGGTGAGGTAGAAGTTGTAATACTAATTGGAACTAACCATTTCAAATCCTCGCCTGAAAATCAGAAATATTTGTATTTTGTTTGTATCAAAGTCTGTGACCGTAGTCATGAAAAACTAAACTTATTTTGGCATTTTTTTTCATCTGAAATTGATGCTAAATTTACTTACACTAGATAATGGTACTCTTCAAAATCATAATTTTACTTTATTAAAGTTAAAATGACCTTCAAAGTCAATAGTAATTCCAAGGTAACTGACCTTCACCTATTTTGCCATCTGCTAAAAATCTATTTTGACTGATATTTAATATACATTTTTCACTCTCTTGTTTTCTTTCAACCTGAAAATATTATTTGTCTATACATTAATGTTCTGCTTAAGCTCAGCAACGTATCACACTGTCCAGCTGATTACATGATTCTGGTAGTTAAACATAATAGACTGGTGGTTTGGGACTACAATTTTATGTCAACAGAGCCAATAAAAACACTTAATAAGATATGGATTTAAAATGATAATGTAATGCAGAATTGTTTCATAAAAGTCGCAATATAGCATTGTAAATTACATTAGAATTTTTCCCCACAATGTTCTAAAGGATGGGACTATATTCAGGTTGCAATTCACTTGACAAAGAGTCTTGCCTGAGAAGTCACAACATTAAATCCATTCATATCTAAAGTAGATTCAGCTTTACAGGAATGTCAGCAGCATTGCTTATAGCAACTACCAGTATCAAACATCTGTGGATTTGAATTTATCAATCGTAAATTTCCTACCTTTAAGACAGGATAGCCCATCTGTTTAGTCCAAGTATCCATAATAGATTTGACAGGTTTACCACTGGCTTCTGCCAGAGCTTGCCACAAATCTTCCGTTTCAGCATTCTTATAGGCATGACGATTTAAATAAATATTCAAACCTTTACGGAAATCCTAAAAATATTTATCAAATACAAGTTGTGGTATATGGTTACGTAGGTGACTTTTTTATAATCTCTTTTAAGGTACAGATTCACCAATTTGTAGGGGTCGATTTGAGTCTTGAATATATGTAAATAGCCTTCAGAAGTGCTAGAATAGTGCAAAAATCAACAAAAAGAGTCGTCATTTTAACATTAGAATGCGGATAATTCTGGACACACAACTAATGGACTTGAAGGCTAAGTTTTGACAGTGAGTTGTGAACACTGTTTCAGAGACCAAGGTACAAAAATCAAAATCAAAGCAGAAGTTTACGATTCTTGTATATTACATCAATCTCATTAAGGCCCTTGAATATTTTGCGACTATGATGTCATAAAACACTTATGTTATTTTAATATAATGAAAAACTGTAATCTGGAGTTCAGACTATCGCCATCCGTAGATTGCAAAAACAAGAAAAATAAAATACAACATAAAATAACTGACCTCATTGCCTAAATAATCACTCAACATTCTTATAATAGAAGCCCCTTTACTATAGGATATACCATCAAATATCTCATCTATTTCTGATGGATGTCCAACTTTCACCTAGTGATATAGGATGGATGGATGGATGGAATGGAATGGGATGGGATGAATGAATGAATGAATGAATGAATGAATGAATGAATGAATGAATGAATGAATGAATGAATGAATGAATGAATGAATGAATGAATGAATGAATGAATGAATGAATGAATGAATGAATGAATGAATGAATCAATGAATCAATCTTAGTGGTCCAGTATAGATGTAAAATATATATATTGAGATGAAAAATAACAACTATTTATTACAAGGATAATAACTTAGGGTCACAAAGATGTAGGGGGGAAACTGTCATTGCTCACCATTTATGCCAGAATGCATTTAATTGTAGACAATCCTGTATCCCATTTTAAAAATGATACAGACAGCTTATAGTGAGCCTCATCAGCTGATAAAGCAAGGTGTTTCTTATAGAAGAGTACAAACAATATTAGTACAATACAATGCATATTTAGTCAAAGCTCTTGAATTCTACATCATACATTCAGAGTTGAAATTTCCAAGCTAAAAGTAGATTTAAACAGTACCTCTATAGGATGGCTGTTATGAAGACAATCTAAATTGACAGCTCGTATTAAACAATCATTAACAAACGCTGTCCATATATCCCATTGAGGAAAACAGTAATCCACACACAGATACTCAATCCATGTAGCAAAGCCTTCTTTTAGCCACAGATCTGTCCACCAATCCTGCGATGAATATTAAAATAATACTAATCTCAATGTGACTTAACCCCATGCAGTGTACAATTAGGGGAAATTTGGTCTAAGTAGCAACATCAAGCTAATGTTACAAGGGCAAAATTCGCATATGAATATTCAACCCATGTAGAAACCTTCTTAATCTATGTATATGTCCACAAATCTGCAATGAATACGCAGTGCTTCATTGAAATGGCATACTGTAAGCTTACAATGGCAAACATAATGCCAAAGCGCACTCCTTTTTACCCTCAAGTAAAGCCAGTAGCACACAAAGGAATCTATTTTGAAGGAAGAAAAACAGTGCTTTACTGTGAGCATTGAGGGACAGTATGAAAGACAACATAAAGCTATCCTTTGATTTCTTCATGTTAAAAATTCTAGCTACATGTGCCAAGCCAGTAGATAAAAGAATCATTTAGGTTAAAGGCGATAGAAAGTGAGAATGTCACAAAACCATGTTTTGCAGATAAATCTGTCATTTGCCTCAGGCTTAACTTATTAGTATCCCTGCTCTCTGTCCATATCCAGAAACCAATTGAAAATGTTATTCAAATGTACCAACCATGGTAACCAGGTTCCCAAACCATTGGTGAGCTAACTCATGTCCTACTACTAGAGCTACATGTTGTTTACTGACAGCTGAACTGTTTTCTGGATCAACTAGGATCAAAGCTTCCTTGAATGTTAACAGTCCCCAGTTCTCCATAGCACCTAAAATTCAAACATATTTAGTCTCCTTAACGCTTTACTAACAGATAAAACAGTGAAAAAAATCAATGCCAAGAACCAGTTGCACAGGATCCTCATTTACAGAAGTAGCTGTTCTTGTAAAAATAGTTGCTTCTTTTGCTTTGTTTTCTTCTTCATGATAATGGAAAATCCATATAGTATCAGTCTCAATGGATCCAAAGAAATATGCTGGATACTGGACCAAAACTCATTGATGCAACATAGGTTACATTTAATATAAGATAAGATATAAAAATACCTTACCGATAGCAAAATCAGCAACTGACAGGAGATCTATTTTTGGTAACATATATTTAATACCAAAATATTTATAATAGAACGGTAGAGTTTTTACAGCCACCTAAAATAAAACAACATAGTATGTAAATATATGGACAAAAGACTTGATTGGAAAATAGTCTCTAAGATACATATAAGCTTACATGTATTACGATTTTTTAATGCCTTGAGGTTTTTGGAAAAGCAATATTCCCACAAATGCTTCAAGACCAGGAATTAAACACAAGATATGACAATTTAGATCTTTTCCTCCTCTTTGTTTGAATGGAGTTTTATCATAAGGTGTGCAATGAGGGAATCATTTTTTGAAGAGGTGCATTAGCATAGTCTTTCTCCATTTTAAACTGTTAATGAGCACAGCAAAAAGAACATTTGTAAACAATAATGACTCACATCTAAAGCAAATCTTCCCTGTTCTTTTTTACCAGCAGGTGTATAAATACGAACAAGAATGCCATCTGCATCTGTTCCTTCCACATAATCATAATCCCCCACAGTAAAGGCTATTAGATATGTAGACATAATAGGCGTAGTGTCAAAAGTGACAGTTTTCATTTTCTTGTCAGAACTTGGTACATCTGACTTCACTGGCTGAAAAAATTTTAATGTTGTGTTGTGTTGTGTTGTGTTGTGTTGAAAAAGTGATATCATGACCTGGAGAGTTATATTGCAGTTATAGATAAACAAATGGTGGTAGTGGGTAGGGCTGGGTAAATAAACATAATATTTAATAGATTCTCATTATATTGTGTCCACTCTAACCGTTAACAAGTAGAAAGCCCTTTCACATAGGCCCCTTTCAGCACATAACTTACCCACTATAATAAATATTCAAAGCAATAAGACGCAAAAATTACCCATGAAGAAGAATATTGGCATGTTTTAAATTTAGTATTACAGGATTTCTCAATTGAATTATTTAAATTTTTAATCGATAATTGATCTGTAGGCAATAATCGATAATCTCAATTTGGTAATCAATACCCAGCCATAGTAGTGGGTTCTGTTTTTTGTCAGTGTTTGAAAGGCTGCTGAGTTTGAAGAAGTCATATATTGGCATGGCCATGTTGAACAAATGGTGGTCATTGGTGCTTATCTCTAATGGCACATAAAAGCCTGCTGTTATCCAAATAATGAATAAGATCAATGTCAAGGTCAAGAGGATTATCCAAATTTCTCATTTTTTGGGGAGCAATTGTTCGGCAAGTTTCTTATTTTACCTTAGTTCCCCAAAAACAATCTGAAAAAAGAAAGATGGAAAACTTTTTTGCTTTACCATATTAGATAGAGCAGTCTTGTCATGGGGCACAATCATAGAAATATCAAACGTGGCTTTAACAGCTGGTTCATCACAACATGGAAAAGCTCTCCTGGCATCAGTGGCCTGAAAGAAAAAGAGCATCACCCGATATATTGAGCAACAATGTCAGGTGTGGTTCTAGACACAAAATACCAATGAAATACTCACATCCATACTTATGATTGATATCCTTCTTCATACGAATAGTTCATTTGCTGCTACTAATGAATTGAATTGCTGAATTATTTTTTTCTTCGATTTTGAGTTTCCTTTTGCCGTTTCTATCATTAGTACTTGGGTTTTCAAAATCAGAAAGTAATCAGAAATGAATATTAAAAATTTTCTTATTCTTTAGCCTGATAAAAGCCATTTTCACAATGGTCGCCTTTATCCTATACCTTAATTGCAATGGCCAATTTCCTTGTTTCACAGAAGTCTGTGAATGCAGCAATTTGATTGGATTGTACACTAGCGAATACAGCCAATCTGAGACCTCGACAGAAAGACTGTCTGCAGGAGAAAATGGGTTGGGTTTAATGACAATAAAAGTCAATCTATTTGTTAGTAATTCATTGTCATACCAACCTCAAAATGAGTGACAGCATTAAAAGCTGTTGTTCCATCTGATTTGGTGTACTGACTTCTATAAAAGCCTTTCATTTTATTATTCAATTCACCCGAAAAGGTTAAAAATAGACTGCCATTTCCTTGCTGAAAAGGAAAAAAGGATAAAGACATTCAATAGAAACTGAGGTCTAAGAGAAAATACGACAATAAAAAAATCTTTAAATGGATGGATTCGCCATTTCAAACACAATTCTTTCAAATGGACCTCAAACAAGAAATTTCACTTTTTATACATTTGGAAAAAAAGACACAAACCTTTAAGTCATTGCTAAAAGTAAAAATAGCAGTTTCTTCTACAGTGGAACCATAACTTATTCTACCTTCTTCCTTCTGTTTTGAATCTACATTGTTAAAAAAAATAGCCTATTTGGTGTTCTGTAGTAAACAAGGTCTGGCTTTATTGTCCTATTAGAATGACTAGACACTTTTTCCCCAAGTCAGTCCCTGCGACCTGCATCACTGACAATGGGAAACCCAGTTGAAAGGTATTCTCTCGACCTATGCTTGGATCCAACCCTAGGCCTTCAGGATAATGAGCAACTTTCATACTATGGTCTAGATTGGATTTCAGTACCACCATTTGTTCAATCCAAGCAAATCACATTAAATACAGATTTCAACACTGTAACCAACTGAGCTGCTTTGCAGTCCCTCTTCAAAGGAAGATATCTGGTATGAACACTAGCCATGTATTAAGGCATACCTACCAGCATGTTGATAATAAGCAGACTTGACTATAATATCTAAAGAATGGAGAACAATTGTCTTGGTAGGTTTCTTGATCTAAAAAAAAAAACATAATAGAAATAAATGTCCCGTGCTAAAAGATTAAACCAAAAATATTGAGTTATTTTAAGTTCTCGCAGAACAGCAATGTCATTCATTATACTATATTGAGGCTGATATTCCAAACAACACCTACAACGCCAGATCGGAAAGAAATGAAAGTAAAACCTCATGCTGGGGGATATATCGTTGCAATGAATTTTATAATCGCTCAAAATATTCGCTTGCGTGCCTGCCCGCCCATGTTGAAGACGAATACCGGTATTTACATTTACAAATCCCCAGCATCAAAAGTGCAAGAAAGTGCCATTCTTTGGCAAATTCGCCCATGTCAGATTATTTTATCGAGTTTGATACTTTTAAATCAAATGTGACGCTGATTTCAAAATAGTATGCCCCTTATTAGTAGTTGGGCGTAGAAAATGACTGGCAATTTGAATTGAGGTGATAGGGCTAAAAAATACACAAAGAATTTCTGTGGATGAAGAAAAATGATCTCGATATTACCTGGACTTGAACTACTTCCTCGCCATCAAAAACAAACTTGTCTAGGTCTGGTATTAATGTTATTTTATAATTTATTGGTACAACATTAGTTGATAACCTTTGAAATTCTGGTCGTCCATCACCCATTGCTTCTTTATACTGCAGTAGAATTCCATTTATCATTATTATATTTTAAACCCTTGTGGCCATCACACAATAGCGATCACCAGCAATCTGTGTATGGTTGTGAATGAAAATAGTACTGCACATTACCCTTAGCCCAACATTCAGATTTAACATTGTCATTTTCTAAAAAGCATACATTAAAAGGGATTGAATATATAGGTTTCCTAAACTTTTAAACTTTCCATCATAGCCTCCAACCTCCCCAACAAGCAACAACGACAAATTCAAGAAGCTCTAGCTATTCAGAGATGCTTTCCAGAGATTAACTACGACAATGGACAGTACATTTCCAAGATATGGCTGAACTAATCTCCCCCCCCTCATTCATTACATGTTTCTTCCCAGCATTCCCCTAATTTTCCCTCCCAGTGTCTTCCTGAGCATATTTATCTCATTAGCTGCTCAGTACCTGCTCAATGACTTCGCATTGTTACCTCACTTGTTTTAATATACTTTTATTTATTGTCTCTCTTAATTACTTATTATTACCCTTTTATCTATTGTCCCTCTTAATCTCTATATTGTTTGTTGTTGGTATATATTTTGTTATGTTTTATTCTCTTGCCATTACATCTGATGACAACACCGTACATGTGTATATTGTGTTGAAACTTTATGTGCTCAACCTTATAAAAGAAGTGTGTTACATTCCATAATATTGTCTTGTGTTTTGTTATATAGCTTACTGTTTTGTTTAAAATATAAATTTTTGATATCAGTGATGTGATTAAATGCTTTTTAGTGGATTTGCAAAAACCACAGACTGGAAATTGGATAAATTTACCATGAAATTTCCATCCAACTTAAACAATGGTGCTATAAAAATAAAATACCAGAATCACTTGTTATAGCCTTATTTTTTTTTTTCGTTCCATATGAGTGATTTCGGAATTTTCATGAATCCCGAGGTAACCAATATAAACTAACGACTTTGTATGGTTTAAGAAGAATATCAAACGAATCAAACCTGGCGGTACATAAGTTAAACAGTCAGACTTCAATACAAAATCAGGAAATTATCAAATCTTATAAACCTTAGCAACGTAGAATGTTTAATTTGTTGCTTACAAGTAACCGGCAATATGAATCGATAAATTGGAATTCCTCAAATGATTGACGGGCTTAAACGAAAACGAAAGAATTTTCTGCAAAAATGGATTTACGTCCCTTTGTAAAGAGCCTGATTTTTTTGTCATTATCAAAAGCGTTGTAAATTGTAATATACGCGAAAATATTAAATTATATTAAATAATATCCTATTTATATCTAGATCTAAGTAACTGCTTGATCAATCTTTTTCTTAAAATGCTTTTAAAAGACATACTAAACAAAGTATGCCTTTGTAACATAAAAGCTCACAAATAAAGGGACAGATTCGCCATCTGTTTGACCAATCCTACCTTAGTTTCAGAAAACCGTGTTCACAGTTCACCGTCGACGATTGTTTTACTTAATCTTTTATATGTTATAATAATTATCAATCGTTAATTAACTAATGTCAATGCACAAACTTTAATATAAATACGGAATGATATGATATGATATGACTGCATCTTGGATTGACCAGAGGACCTATACAGACGGACAACACCGATGTATTTATGAATATTGTAACCAGTTATTATTAAACAGTTTTAAGTTCTTTTTCATACTTTTAGTGTAAATTCTCACTACTACAATATCAGTAATTGTATTGAGAGTTTTTATCATTTATTGAAAAGTCTATATCATTTATTGAAAGTCTATATCATTTATTGAAAGTTTATATCATTTATTGTATTGATATTCATAATATCATGTTTATTTATTTATAATTCATAGTTGTTTATGTACTTGATTTACTTGTATATTATTATTATATATTTGTACACTATATTTATGTATTTACAGGTCAGTTGGCCTTAATATATACTGAATAAATTTATCTAATCTTATCTTTATTGCTAAAAAATAGTAGTTACTTACGAGGAAATGTCCCTACAATTGTGAAAAATCTTGATTTAAAAGGATTTATGAGCGAAATTGTTGCAATTCTTTCAAATGGAGCGATGGTTTGTTGCCCAAATCTAAGGAAAAAATATACTTGAATTATTGATTATTGGACTTGGATTCTGTTTTATTTTAAAATTTTGAACCGCGATAGTTACCTTCCATTCAAGTTATCTCCAAAAAGGTTGGCTTTTGTGTCTTTGATTTCTATACTCTTAAATAACTAGTTTTTGTAAGTTGTAAATTTTCTTGGTTAATCTGACATGATGTAAAATATTACTTTACTTTCAGCTAACAACAATTAGTTATTTTACCAAGTATGTATGAATTTACCAGAACAAGTATGACTTATCCATAACAAAATATGACTAGAATAGAACAAATTATGACTTTACCAGAACATGCATGACGTCACCAAAACAAAATATACCAGAACAAAATATGACTATGCCAGAACAAAATATTCTTATTTGGAACAAGTCAAAAACGTAAAAAGTCATAAATTTACTTTCAATCACTGATTGCATAATTATTTCTTCAAAAAAACGAGTAGATCTATATATGAGTAAATATTTGCAACAAAATAAAAAGTACAGTTTTCGTACCATGATTCGCTGACTAATAATATATAGTTTTCGAACAGAATTAGGATCTCTCAATGAAAAAAATGAATATTATATAATGTTTTCAAATTCAAAATAAAACGGATGGCAGACCTGTGAAAGGGAAATCATTATACTTCATTATCATCATCTTTTTTTAAAATTTGATTGACCGAATTGTCATATTAAAGCCTAGCCAATACTTAGTTTCTGGAAAAAATTCAATACCGGTATTAAATATGAAAGTAGACCACAACACTACAAAACGGCTATTTTTAATATATCCTTCCGCAAGAAAATCTCTCACCGTCTCACAAAATCTAAACGAAAAAGCACTTTCAAACATCAAATTCCAAATCTGACCAAAAAAAATTTGTCAAAAAAGGTATTCAAAAACACCAAAAGAGAGGAAGAAAGAGTATTTCTAAAAATAGCACAGACTACATTCTAAAAATAGCACGGACTACATTCGTATACAACCATTGCCATGGAAACTTTAGAAGCTTTGTAACTTTTCCAGGAGACAATGGAATTACGTTTTCCGGCCTAACTCCTAGGCTATGGGAGATTTTTCAGTTCTGTTTTTTCTCAAATGTCCAGCTTGCCAATGTGGAAATACCCTGCAAATTTCAGCCCTGTAGCTTTGTAACTTTTCGAGAAAAAAATTTATTTGTATTTTCCCACTATGCGAGCAGAAGACCATAGAAACAAAAAAATTCGCATTTTTGGCTCTAATTGTTTTTAATTGAGTTTGAAGTGTTTTTCGGTCAGTCTGGGGTCCAATTAGTCGAAAAAGTCCAAAACTGGAGCCAAATCGAGTCACTGGGCCGAGGTTGGTGAGTTGCCGTTTTCGGTCGCTAGGGCCTATACAGGAGACAATGGAAATACGTTTTCCGGCCTAACTCCTAGGCTATGGGAGATTTTTCAGTTCTGTTTTTTCTCAAATGTCCAGCTTGCCAATGTGGATATACCCTGCAAATTTCAGCCCTGTAGCTTTGTAACTTTTCGAGAAAAAAAATTATTTGTATTTTCCCACTATGCGAGCAGAAGACCATAGAAACAAAAAAATTCGCATTTTTGGCTCTAATTGTTTTTAATTGAGTTTGAAGTGTTTTTCGGTCAGTCTGGGGCCTAATTAGTCGGAAAAGTCCAAAACTTGAGCCAAATCGAGTCATTGGGCCGAGGTTGGTGAGTTGCCGTTTTCGGTCGCTAGGGCCTATACAGGAGACAATGGAAATACGTTTTCCGGCCTAACTCCTAGGCTATGGGAGATTTTTCAGTTCTGTTTTTTCTCAAATGTCCAGCTTGCCAATGTGGATATACCCTGCAAATTTCAGCCCTGTAGCTTTGTAACTTTTCGAGAAAAAAAATTATTTGTATTTTCCCACTATGCGAGCAGAAGACCATAGAAACAAAAAAATTCGCATTTTTGGCTCTAATTGTTTTTAATTGAGTTGA